TTATGCTTATATCTGATATATAAGTGTCAACGTATAGCTTTTTGCTATATGTGAAATCATCAAGCAAGGTCGCAAGTAGATCGGATTTGTTTTGGGGCTTAGGGCGGTGATGACAAAGGCACACTGGTAGTAGAGCGGAATGATATTTCATCCTATGACATCGGGACACCCCCACGGACTCGATAAACCGTAGGATGTAATATCATTCACCGACATAAGACTAGCGGGAGTTGATCCGTACCTTCTTAGGTTGTTGGTAGTCCTACACCCGATAGCGTGATCGACTCGTGGACAACTACACTTTTTCAAAACTAATAAATTTTTTTTTGATAAGAACGGATACACCTTTTTTTTAACAAAAATATATTTTTCGCTACAAACAAAATTGATACAACCCACTTTTGTATGCTTGAAACCTATGTGCATGCTAAAAATATAAATTTTAAATACTTTTTTAAAATTTGGTTGTCCGTCTGTTGATCACTTGCTTCAGTCCAAGGAGTACCCTCCTAAGTTAGGTTCAATAAGACACATTTCTAGTTGAGTGACAGACTTTATACATCCGGGTGACCGAGTAGCCTTCGACGACCCTCGAGTACAAATATATATTTGAGTCTAGCCCTACCCGAGTGCTTGAGGTCCCCTCTTTTCGGACTTTTTCATATGTCTTACGAAACTTTTGGATAAAGCACTAGTGGTATTTTTTCTGGGATTTTCTCGTGTTTTCCAATGATTTTCATCGATTTATCGATTCGTCGGTTTCTTCATATTTTTTCTGTCGTGAGTCTTTTGACGATCTTTCTCGAGTTTTTTGGACGATGTTTCTTTTCTTCATTAGCTTTTGTTTATATGATGCATTTCGGTCTGTTTCTTCAAATTTTGTTACTTGTACCCGTTGCATCAACTACACCTAAGGAACAACGAATCTCTCAGGTATATAGGTTTGTTTTGTGTTTACAGCATGTTACTTTCTTGCAGTCACTCTCCTGTTGTACCTTTTACCTTTTCTTTACACTGCATGTTGTACTTTTCTTTTTCACTGAAAACGCTAATGCTTGTCCTGTACTACACTCTACTGTTATTTCATACACTGTACAACTTCAACATGTCTTTCGTAAAATGTTTAAAGAACCACAACCATAGGGTCGTCTGATTTGACATCATAATTCGTCACCCTAGAAAACCTACACCCGTTACGACAAGGAGCTTGGAGCTAGCGTTGTGGGCAGCACGACCATCTTTAACAGCAAAACTTGTCTACATCAGCTAAACTAATTTTCTTCCTTAGAATTAAACAACCAAGCCATAGGACTTTGATGTAGTTTATAACGATATGTATATAAACCCTCACTCTATCTTTTAAGCTTCTGTACATTGTGCAATCTAAGCCCTAACTCGCTTTAGGATTCTAAGGTTGTCGTCCGTCACGACCTAAATCCTCACATCTTCCAGGCTATTTGGGTGATTGTTTTACACAGATGTAAGTCCTAATTAAATAAAATTGGCAGGATTAAACACTTAAATGTTTCTCCTCTAAACTGAAGCCAAACAATAGGATTGTTTGGGAAATCACCGAAGTTCTCCTTCGGATCTGTAACATCTTCTACTTCTTCTTCCGTTGGATTCTACAATGAATGTTTCAAACTTGAATCATTCCTTTTTTGTCCGATTTCGTTGAAAAAGTCCTATCCTTTTGACCTCCTTGAAGATAATTTTTTCTGATTTTTATCGAGAGTATCCTTAGGTGACTTCGGTCATTTAAGATGTAATTAACTATAGGGGTTTTTCATTATAGAAAATTTTTCCGAACCCAACTTAATATAAACCCTATTTAATTTTTCATATTAAATAGAGGAAATTGTCGGCAAATAAAACGGTTTCGCTGACCAAACGGACGTCATATATTTCTTAGTTTATTTGATCGAGCCTCATCCTCAAGTCTTGTGCTTATCTTTCGGGATAAATACAGGATTTGAGGTATCGTACTCTTTCATTTAAACTATGAAAAATATGGGGTCAGTTTGATATCATATTTTTCTAAACTTAAATCTATATGTAAATTAAAACGTTCTTCCAAAGCGAGCGACGAGATCTCGATTTCGGTGACCGACAGTTTCTTACGGGCAACTTCTCCAATCAAACTAATGTCAACAATCATGTAACAAGCTAAGCTTAATGTATTTGGCAAGGATCATCTACTAAGTCAGTGAAGCACACCACTTTTGTTAACATTTTCAGGTACACCACAAGCATGGCAGTAATTATAGATGCATTAACTATACTTTTTTTAGCATGCATTATAGCAATAACATTTTATATTTGTTCCAAGTGAAGGAAGTTGAATGAATATACATACATACATATATATATATATGCGTTCTGTGTATTTAAAATCAACAAAAGTGTCTGTATTTGTATTTCTTTGTTCCCAAGTAAAAACATCAGCATTACTGACTCCTGGAAACCATTTTTAGTAGGCCAATTTTTAATTGGCGACAAATGAAGATGCAACTTTTTTTTCCGTTTATTAAAAATAGGTTGGCAATTGGCCATTTGAGCTGTTCATTAAGAAAACCGAGATAAGTTGAAAGAAACTTGCAGAGTTCGATGATATATATATATATATAGATCTGTGTGTGTGTGTAAGTTCTCTATCTGGGTATCATAAGAACTTTTAAAGCAAGTTTCATATGTTGTAACTGATTTATATATAGATCTGTCATCTGGCGTCTGTGTCTACATCGACGTCGGCGTTCGCAGCTCCCTGTTGAGGCTCGCGTCGCGATATCGCTCCACTACTCGCGGCGGCGTCTTCCTCGATATCGCTACACTCCTCCTACTTGATATCACTCCACTTCAATAATCTCGCAACAGTTTTAACGTCGACAGCCTCTGATGGTATTTCCTTCTTCTTTGGCTGAGCCTGACAAAGTCTCATTTGCCCATGTGAAACTTTCAGGTGGAGTTTGCGGTGGTATTCCCCTCAAGTTATAAAGAATCTCGTGAGGGTACAGATGATTGTCCTTTTATTAAGAAGGGAAGTAGGAAAAGTGGAAAAAAAACAATCTTTTTCTCTTAATCAGAAATTTTTACTCTTGCGTAAAAATTTAAGTTTGCTCTTATTGAAAAATTTCAGTGGGGACACCCTCCTATCGATGTTATTAGGTGTTGATGATCTTAAGCTAGTAGGCAAGTGGAAAGTGAGACTTATGGATGGGATACGTGTTGATCCAACTAACATTGACTGAAGACTACAACAAAATTTTCTCCAAGAAATATCTTAATATCGAAGGCAAATCAATGAAGTTACTCAAGTGGTCTCCTAATTTCGACCCAAATCATGAAACCCCTACTGTACCGGTATGGTTTAGTTTACCTGGTCTCAAGCTGCATTTTTTTCACTATCAGGTTCTCTACTTTATTGGGGTCATCCTTTGAAATTAGATCTGCCTACTTTCAATCTAACCAGACCCTCAGTGGTCAGAATTCTTGTGAAAAGGGATATTACTTTATCTAATGTTACTAAAGTCTGGTTGGGCACAACCCATAATGGTTATTGACAACAAATCGTCATAAAACATAAACCCACATATTGCACTCATTGTAAGATGTTTGGTCGTATATTTGCTAAATGTCACAAGTTTCATCCTAATTTGAAATCTAAGATTCAAGTGAATAAGGATGGTCTAACCCCACTGTTATGGACATTTTAGTTCCACCTGAGGAGGATACTACCAGACAGGAGATGTTTGTTGCCTCTGAGGACCCTCCCTGACACTGTTGTTACTGTTACTGCGAGTGATGCGGTGCTGACACCTACAAAATCCATAAAAAATAATACCGCTAGACTATTACCTATATATGATAGTATTCAGGCTGATAATCAGGAGAGTCTCGCAGCTCCACTTCTTCAAGAAGTATTCGGTGTGTATTCTTCAAGAAGTATTCGGTGTAGAGGCAACTCATACTTCACATATTCTAGAACCTATTTTGGGTACTACTGTTGGTATTCCTTCTGCTTCAGCTCGACCCCATCAGACTGATTCTTCGGAGGAGAAATGGCAGGTTTATACTTCCAGGAGGAAGAAGAATAGAGATCTACTAGAGCTCAGAAGTCTTATGGATTATACTTTGGTTACTACGGGTAATGGTCAACACCTTACCAATCTGCTAGTTGATTCGTACCGAGAACTAGAGGCAGAGGCAAGACTAGATTGGGATGGCTCACACTTTATTAGCGCCTGGGTGGTTTTTTAGGTTTTTGTTTTTTCTATATGTACCCTTCATTTACATTTTTTGGTGTGTGTTGTACCGTGTGGGTTGGGTGTTTAGGCTTACCCATACAAACATATTTGTACCTTTCTCTTTAATTTATATATATATATATATATA